TTTCTTAAATTTTTTTCGGTTATTCCCATTTATTATGACCGCTCCTGGGAAAATCGAAAAACGACCCCTTAAAGTACCACACTAGTCAGAAAAATATTTTTGATAGGTACTTGTATTTAAATAACGATTTATTTTTCCAAAACTGTTTGCATTTTCTGTGGCTTATTAATAAAGTTTTCGAGTATAGATCATTTTTAATTTATTTGTGTAGTATAGGTACAAGTTTTCAAACTCAAAAAACGTTTCGTTTCATATTTATATACAATTGAAATAAAACAAAAAAAAAAAAAAAATCCATTTCGATCCATTAAAATGATGACTGCAGCAGCTGTCGGATAATCGGAGGGAAAAACTACTGTAATTCTTCTGTAATCAAGAACTTTCGAAATATCTACAATTTTCGGTTCCAAATCGCTGTCAACGAAACATAGGTCGGTAGTTTATGGACATTACACAAAGTGGGGTACCGACTGTTTTATTGCCCCGCACAATATTGTAATGTTATTATGACGTATCCTTCTGCAAATTATTATTATTGCGAAAAACCAATTCTTCTTGACTTCCCCTCTTCGCCAAAAAAACCGAATATCGCATGCGATACACCAATTACTTCTATATGTGACTTGTTTATTTCGATGTAATATAAATAAATGCAGTTGTACAGTAAGTATTTGCCGCAGAAATGAACGTTGTTACAACGTTAAACATTTATAAAATGTGGGTCAATGCGCGTTGTATTGCCCGTACGGGCTGCATAGCATTTACGTCTGAAGTAGCGTCCCGGTAAATGGGTATCCCACTGTAAATCTTTCCAATGCCTATCAGTTTTTCCTTGGCAATTTAATTTTGCTCTCAATGGCCAAATTATCTATTAAACACTTATTTTTATCAACAAAAAAAAAAATGACAAATTAGACTAACTATATATTCTAAAACATTACTTCGTCTTTATATTTGTCCCTTTGGTTTTCTGGGTTGAAACGGTTACACGTTTTCGATTTTTAAATAGCAAATAGTCATATTAAAAATTCCATAAATATTCGCGATGACATTTTTGATTTCCGTCGACCCGTCGACGCGATATTCCATTTTAAAGTTTAGGCGTAAGGGAAGTGTAGTGGAACAGAATTTGTGCAGCATTCGAATAGATATCCGCTACACGGAATACCTCGTAGACTTCGGAAATCGAAAATCGCATCACCAAAATGCATTCAACCCAATATTCATATCTTCCGTCTATTTATGGAATTTTTTTAAATATAGGTTGCTATTTGAAAATCCATGGTGGTTCATTCACTTCCGAAAACGAAAATACAACGTAACCATAGCGCGTGGGAGGGGGGGGGGCACGGTAGGGTCTTTGTGCTCCCTGGCTTTCTAAAATTTGTAAAATTAAACATGGTTACAAAAAAAGGCCATCATCAAAAAAACTTAAGATTGGATTGTCGATCGGATGATCGAATTATACTGAAATAAACAGATAATTAATATATTTTACCCATCAGTATTTCCCTGCAATTTATACTGTGGTCTCAGTATCCCGGCAGCTTTTTGTACTGTTGAACGGCCGTTCAGCACGTTGCGAATGGTTAAAATCTGGATAGGCTCTACCATGAACGACAGAAGACTCGATGCTTTATAAACGATGGATACATATTAAGATAGGGTAAATGATCTTATTAGTAATGGTAATTTTTATGGTGAAAGTGTTGATCGTTTCGGGAGCGAAACAATACAATTGCAATATCTTTTGGAGAATAATTAACCCACACGTATCCTATGCAATAGAAAATATTGAATTTTTTTATAAATACTGTGGAACCTCAGCGAGTCGCACCCAGATAAGCCGAAATAAATGATGTCACTTCGCGAAAACCTCGATTACTCGAACGAAAAAAATATAGATAACTCGAACATATTGTGTTCCGAATATAGACGGATAATTTGTATAATCACTTGTCTCATCGGCTTATGCGTTCAATAATTTCACCTAATCGCGTTTATTGCGAGTATTATCGTACTTTTTATTCGGTAAAGTCTCCGGAACAATTAGATAATGTGGACGGTAACGTGTACTCTAGCTGGTCTAAATGTAATTATCTATTTTAAAGTTGCAACGTTATCAACATTTTTTAGATTCGGAGCGTAGCGAAGGATCTATTGGTTTTACTAGGATGTGTGTGAATTTATTAATTTTTTTCCGTCTGTGAACCATTTTTCTGCCAGAAAACTTGCTATGGAGTATAAAGTGCTGCACCTTTTCTAAAAGGTAATTTTCTCTAGTTGGTGCATTGAAGAGGTCATTTTTCGATTTTTCGAAGGGTTTTCGAAATAATCGGGAAAAACCCGAAAGAAAAGTAGAAGTAAAACGGCAAATATTTACGGCCTGCCGCGGCGTTAACGTTTTCATTCGTTTTTATCATGTTACTTGTACGTACACTTTATTCGGTAGATAATTTGTAGATAAAATTGTAAATACTAAACAGAAATGCCTGAAAATTTAACGGGAAATTCCTTAAGTATCGTACTTAGTGGTAAAAAAAACGTCCTTTGGAGAATGGGGACAGGTGCAGCCATTGTTATGGGTAATTGAATGTATACATGTAAGCAACGATAAACCATTGCTTACGAAAAAACGATTCTGAGTAGAGTTCAGTTAATAGTGATGCTTTGTCAACAATATATATATATATATACCATATTATTGTAAAATAATTTAATATGCTCTATATATTTTCTTTAATAATATTTGTTTAATGTTGTACCGATTTCTCAGGTTTTCTTACGTTTTTCCCGGTTTTCCCATGATTTTTCCCAGTTTTTCATATTTACTAAGAAAACTCCTGAGAAAACCGAAAACGGCCTCTCTAATTTACCTTCCCGGTGAAATTTCCTTTTAGGAAAATTGTTATCATTAAAAGGTTGAGCAAAATTGCTGGTAGAAAAGTTGTTTACAGAAAAAAAAATAAAAATCTATGTAAAACCATATAAGCTTTTTCGTTCCACTTAGAATCTAAAATTAGTTTAATGTAGTATTTTTTTTTTCTACATATAAGTTAATTCAAATTTTGACAAAAATCGTAAATATTACGGCCTTTCAAAACATGTCTAGTCGAACTTCGCTCCGAATCATTTTTCGCTTTCAATAAACGTAACGCAATTGAACGTAACGTTTCAGAATACACATATTATATAATTTTAAAACGTTTTTAAATCAGTCATTCGTTGGAAAATTTGATTTTAGCTCGAAATTTGAAAATCCCCGTAAACATAAAGGATTTCAAATTTTTTGGTTTTTTTTTTCGGTCAAACAAAAAAAAAATTAAAAGTATTAACGTCCGTATCATCCGTATATAATACGAGTTTCCGTTCGAAATATCGTTTCGCCGAATATTTTTTTTTTCTACAATTTAATAGCCGGTCATATCGATGATGTTTTGTTATCTCGAAAATCGTTGGAAAATATACTTTTGTCCGGCGTTGACCAATGGAAAAATCGTCGTCGAGTCGCCTTCTCTTAAGTACTAAACTCGTACGATAGATATTATTGCGTGTAAGTATCGAAAACGTTTTTTTTTCCTTCTATAAAATCTAAAAGCAATAGTCGCACGATATATAGATCGGTACGTCAAATACGGCCGGGGAGGAGTGGGGTGGGGGTGGGAAACGCGATCGCAATGAAATATTAATACCCAGCGAAAAAAAAAAAATTAATATTACTATACACGGGTAATGTTTAATCGAGGGTTTAATAGTGGGCATAATATCGTATTGTGTTACGTTTTATATTATGAATTTCCCACGAGAAAATAATACACGCGAACATATTATCATTACCGTACATACGTACACACATATGGGTTACGGAAACGATACGAATGCAATAATTGTTATACGTGAAGCTAGTGAAATATACCGTTGTACAGGGTGTCTCGCGAAGCTATTACCGTTGCGATGTGTCCTCCCGAGATGACGGAAATAATGGAGTTCCGTTTTTTCTTTTTTTTTTGTCTTCAATTCACCTCGCAGCAGGACAAAGAACTACGGAACACAATATTCCTGTATTTCAAAATTTTCTTTTCGGTAAATAACCGAAACGGCCATTACCTAGGATTTGTTCTCGTTGACTGACTTTTCGACTTTTTATTTTCATTATAACCTCGCGATTTCGAGCATTTTTTTTTTTTCTCTCCGAGTAAAATATTGTGTATTATATTTTAATAAAGCATAGTAGTGTGATGCACACTATCATTTCATCTCGTTTTGCGATGAGCTCCGAAATAAAATACTATATTATATTATGTTTAAAATACACCATTTTCCTGTGAACTAAAAAAAAAAAACAGATAATAATAAACAAAAAATTCGAACCTGCGACGTTATCAGAAGAAAAAACTCAATAAAACGGTTATTTTCGTAAATAATAAATAATATGCAATTTATATTTGGTACAAATGTAATTGAAATATGAAGCAATCTTTATCTCCGTGAGTTATGCCAAGATAAAAAAAAAAAAAAAGGGAATTTAATTATCTCCGTTATCTTAAGAGATATCACACTCGGTTGTACGACACTTGAGCGCGGACATTTTGGTGCGGAAAATTGGGTGCGAGACATTTGGGTGAACATTTATTATTTAATTAAAATTTTAGTAATACTATTACACAATATCTTCTTATGAATATTTTGCTTAAATTTGATAATATAGAGAGTATTATAAAATCCACACAACAATTTATATTAATTTAGTTTATTATCAATCATTTTTTTTTTTTTTAAGTGTACACAAATATTCCGTTAGATATATTAGAGCTGTTATATTCATAAAAACTCCAAGCACAGTTTCGTGTCTTACAAAAATTAAAGTAAAAAAAAAATTGTAAAATTATAATTGAACATTTAGACATATGAAGAATACATTCATTTTATTGAAATATTAGGATAAATTTTGATTGAGCGCAATGCATTTCAAAAAATCCTTTTTGTCGCGGATTTAAAAATCACAACACATTGCTTTTATTCCAAAAGCCGTGTCTTGTATATTGTTTAAGCTTTTTCCTCGGTTCCGTTCTAGCCAAAAATCGACGCAATTTTATACGATTAAGTTTTTCTTCAATTTTTAGCGCACCGGTAAACTTCCATATCGAAGGATGGGGGGGTGCATTTAATGTTGAATAAAATGAATTATGCCATCCAACCACCGAATTATTGGTTTTGGGAATATCATATTGAATGAGATTGTTACAGTCTCGTGGCTGTATTGGGAATCTGGGACTTCGGCGTTTTTCTATCACGGCATAATTATGCCCGATCCACGCACTCTCAAAATAATCCGAAAAACCTGACGAAAAGGTCTCATTTTCATTATAAAACTCAGTTTCCGATATAGCTTCGTATGCATTAATTACCGAATGCGGACGGACAAACGATAATGCATTTAACTTTTTTATGTTCAATGCGAAATTAGAATCTTTACGATATTTCATAGCTAACCCATTGTCTTGGATAAGTCTCCAAAGAGCTTGTGAATAATGAAAAAAACATCCGTGTAATGACAGATTTGGGAACACATTTTTTAATGCATTTACGCTTGAAAGCTCGAAATCGAGCATAAAAGTTGTTGGTTTAATTAAAATGTTGGCAAATTTTCTTCAGTAGAAAAAATTTAAATCCCCGGTGTTGCTGAATTTTCATCGTAACTATCATATAACAAAAATGGCTTACCGTCAGTAATTGTTGTTTTGCACTCGGCACGAGTTACCGACTCATCCAGCGTTCTAGGATTCTCTTTCTGTCGAATACACTTTTTTTTTTAAATTTTTTAAAAAAAAGTTAATTTACTTATGACAGATTCAGTTACCTATACAATAATCAAATAAAACGATTATTTAAACATTTGTATAGCTAATAACTTAAAATTTCTATTAAAAAATTCAAAACAATTTAAATTAATTACTTCTTTCGAAATAGTGCTCAAAATTACATGTGATCTCGGCTCTGTTCCTTGTGCTGTTTTTTTTCATATTTTCAATTGCTTGTTTTGCTTCAACAATCCAGCAGATGGTTACGTTCACGTTTACTTTCTTTTATTATTTCTCTCTTTTCCACATGTACGTGGCATGACCCCTACATTTTTTACTGTTATTTTCAGTACGGCGCCAAATTGTTTTTTCATCATTTGAGCGTTCTAATTTGTAAAAATAGCCTTTCGGGCTCGATCCTTTTCATTTTTTACGAATTCACACATTTTAAAAAGATATATTTTATAAAACACAACTGATGTAGCACTAAATTGTGTTGCCAGTGCATGAACATAATATACTAAATAAGTATTAAAGCTCGTATTATTAGATTATAAATTCTTATCCGGAATCTTTTAATCTTTTCTTGAATTGAAAAAAACAATAATAACTTTTGTTGTATCGGATAACAACAATTGTATTGTACACGTATAGATAATGAAATAAAATCGAGAATTTATACCTTAAATTTCATCTATTATTAGTATACGTTTTACATTAATTTTGAATATTATTGATATTCGCTCCCAATTATCTTGCACACCAATTGTCATTGTGCCTAAATGTCCCGCATCCATTTTTTTGCGACCAAGTGTCGGCATACCATCATAATCGTAATGGGAAAAATATATTCGTGGAGACACTCTGTATAACCGATAAACTTCCTATTTAATAGATATTTCAAAGTTTATTGACACGATATTTATTATTTTATTTACGCTCGATTAATGTTATTAATATAATAGTTCTTATTTTCCTTCGTTTTTATAATTATAAAACTGTTATCTTGGCAAGACGTGTTAGATAATGAGTAAGTACTATACTTACCCGGCGAAAAAAGATTTATAAGAAGATATAATTTATTATGATTGAAGCAAATATGTAAAAAATTATATCAATTCGATTGAAATTTTATGTAGATAAGTAGGTACAAAATATATTATTATCTTGCTATTTTATTTCGATAGTCGTATATCGCCATATACAGGACGACACCTAGCGGAGTTCGCACCAAAGTCCAAAGGGTACTATTAGCGATCTCTCTCGGAGCTACGAAATTGCCTGCCCCAACGGAGTAAATGCTAGATGTGGTTTAAAGATGGCGCTGCCTGTTTAATGATTTAATATTTTTCGTTGAGCTCAGTACAATATTAGTCCATAGACTAAATATAATATTATTAATTATATTTTAATACTTTCAGATGATCCACTAATCACTATAATTATAACATCTAACGGATAATAGAATTCTCTTTGATAGATGATAAAACGAATAAATTAAAAATGAATCCGAATTTATCACTGAGTAATATAAGCTGAGCTAAAAAAATTTTCATTTATAAGAATTATTGACTTTAGCTAACTACATTAAAAATTTGTTATCAAATATTTGATTGAATTAATAGTTTATTTATTTAAAAATTTACGCCATTTATGCATTAAAATGTAAGATTAAAATATGGTTACGAAGAATAACAGAATACTAGATACTGTAAAAAAAAAAAAAAACAACAAATATAAATATTATAGAGGTGATTTATTATTATTGGGAAGATCGGAACACGGAGATGATAGGATCGTTATGGACTTGTTATTTAGAGTGTGTACCTATACAGAATTATTGTCGTTGACTGCGGGTATTATGATAAGGTACTCTGAAGAAGATATCTTTCGGGTGCGTCCAGTAACCCATCGATTAAAGCAACGATAACATTTTGGTTGACGTTGGAACGGCGAAATTGGAGTGATTGACCGGTCAAAACTTTACGTAAATAAGTGTAATCATGGCATGGATCAGGTAATTTGAGAACGAGAGCAGCATACGCTAGAAATTTATTTTGCACGCGCTCCAGCCTTAGTTGATCTCTTGCCAAATACGGGTGCCAGATAACAGAACCGTAATTGAGCAGTGACCGAACCTGCGGAGAGAAATATAAAGATTAAAGGCCATTATCAAAAGAGAAATAGAAAAATGTTTAGCATTACGTTTTATAAAAACATTAACTTTCAGAGGTTTACCCACAATTGAATCAATGTGGTCACCAAAACTACAGAGCGTGGGGGAATAATGAATTCCAGGATTTTTCATGGAAGGCAATCGATGAGGCGGAATACCGGCTATATGATTGTTATTATGGATCTAGAGGAGGTCATAATATGGTGTTTGTGGGCCCTATTTTTCGCGGACCCCCTGAAACGTAGCGTCCACCGGTCCTCTTAATCGGGTTACATTAAAACCTTGTAAAGTTATAAACTAATCGTTATTTAAGAAATTGCGCGTTTATTCGCGCTCACGGAGTGTTATTGTTTCCCTCGATACCTTGCCGTATTTTCTCGTATAATTTATTTATAGTTTAGTAGACGCTACAGTCTTGCGTCGTAACCAGGGGCGCATCAAAGGGGAGAGAAAAAAGGGCAGATGCTCCGGGCGCCAAGAGCGGCAAAAATTTTCAGTTGAATAAATATTAATTATTTTAGTTTACGAATTTACGATGTCACTTGTCGGAATATCTTAACTCGTAATGAAATCTAATATTAGGACTATTAGGTAGTCCTAAGGTCTCCTTATTGGGAGAGAACGCTCTTGTGGTCTTGTAGACCTTGTTTCCGGTCATTGGCGCGACTACGTGAAAAACGAGGGTCTAAATAAAAAATTCTCATATATAAGATAATAAAGATTTAATGTTATTTTCACATAAAAATGTAAATATCCGTGTTATATTTGTGTTGTTATGTCTTATGTATAAAATTCGCGTGTCACGTGTTTGTGGTCGCACTTCTCCGAAACGGCAAGACCGATTTTAATGAAATTCTTTGTGTACATTTGGTAGGTCTGAGAATAGGTCGTAAAGTATTTTTCACACTCCTATAATACTCCCCCATTATTTTTTAATCGTGATTTTAGTACTTTCGCTTATTTATATACACACATATATATATATATACACGAGCGATACCAAATAATTTAGCTTATAATATAATAAATACAATTTTTTTTGTTGATTTGTGTTATCCCGGTAAAAGGGATGAAAAAAAAAAAAATGATTAATTTTTATTAAAAATATTGTGTGATCATCAAAATCGGTCCAGCCGTTCTTGAGTTATAAACGGTGTAACTAACCAGACTCAGTTTTATTATGTAAGATTTTCGTTTATTCAAATGTTGTCACGGAAAAGTAAACTATTATAATTATTATTATTAACGTTAATTTACACTATTCAAAGATCACAATAGAACACATAGTCCGCCGAAGGTGGACTACCCACTTTCTACATATTTGTTTTCATATATTTCTAACACGACCATAACAAAAAATGAATATGGGAGAATAATGATATAAATTGGCACGGGAAATGTCGGGCTCAGGACAGCTAGTATACATATAGTAAATTAAAAAAAACATTTTAATAAGTATAGGAAAAAAATAGAAAATCGAAAAATCCAGTAAAATTCAGTATCGGTAAATAAGAACTGCAAATGTCTTCGTTTTATTCCAAACATCCAATGACATGCTGAATGAAACTATCTTTGTTTATGTTTATTTTCACAGTTTCACGATAAAGGCTCATAATACACAATCCATTTAAACTATCTTCACCTGTAGTTGACCAAAGCCACATTTTTATTCTTCTTAATGTACCGAACGATACGATTGTGCACGTTATCGGAGGCAGTGCTCTAAAAACATTAGTATTTGGAAAAATCGCAGGATAATATTCGCAACGAGCCAATAAATCAACTAACGAAATTTCAATAGGACTCAATCAAATTTATGGATTTAGATATACTGTGAGTTTGGAATTATATTAATAAAGTTGCTATTTAAAAGTTCATTTATATCTATCGCAAAACACAATATGTGTTAAATAACTGTTGACGTGTAGCTAGACTAGATAGGTAAGCATATATTTATTTTGTGAGTATATGTATTGTAAAACTTGTCGGATTATTTACTTGTAAAAAATGGTGTATACCGAATTAGGGGCGTCATATTTATGTTTGCTCCCCTATACATTGGCCCTGATTGTAAAGGCTTGCGTGTTTGTGCGGTAAAACTGAGAATCGCGTTATTAAAATTGATGTATTATACCTATCTCCGGACATTTTTATTTCGATTTGAAATCCGTTAGCATTCGTACAGTTTATAAATATGCGAGTACCCATAAAAAAAAAAAAACCTGTAATATACACGGCGGCGTGCGGGGCAGGGGAAAGAAGGTTTTTGGGCTTTATATCCTTTCGCGTTGGCTTGAAAATACAACTAAGCCATATCTATGTTTTCGGCAAATGTATGTAGTATATAAATATATACATGCATTTTCTTTTCAGCCGAGTTACAAGAAGAGCCCGGTTTATTGAATACAAATTGGCTTTTTTTGGATCCGGCTTTTGAATTTCCGTTGTCGGGTCGGTGGTAGAAGTTTCTACAATTTATTCTCACGATTATTGTTTACTACAGCCATCATATCCTATTGAAAATTCCCGAGCGTAATGCAGTGCCCGGTTTTTGTATTTTTACAAACGTTCGAATTTTAACAAAAAGCGTACAAAATACGGCATTTTAAAACGTCACGTTTAACCGAATCGTTTTTCGTTATTGGCTGGATGTGAGGTTCGATTTTTTTTTTTCGAGTTTTTCTTTGTTTTAATGCAGATCGAATTGTGTGGCCGAACTGAAATGCTTGGAAATTTAACACGAAAATAAAAGATCACCACTGTGGAGTGGTGATCTTTTCTTGGTGAACCGAGAAAAAAAAAATCGTTGAGCGTAATATAGCGTAATTTTTTTATAAAGATGTTTAATTTAAATTTTTACGAAAATCTACGGCTTTTCGAAACAACACGCTTAACCGAACTTAGTTCTGTACCGTGGTTCGTCAGCAATGATTTATCGTTGCATACAAATATAAATTAAATAACTTTGTGTGTCTTATTTCACGTACTTATTTGGTTCTCAACAAACGGTTGATAAAAAAAAATGTCATTATTTAGTAACTAAACTAAAATTAATACTCGCAGACCGTTGACAGTGTGAAATATAATATCAAAAAGCGAACGTAATATTATTTCCCTTTGTTAGGCCACCGTTTTTTTTTTTTTTTTGTTTAGGTGTATCACAGGGGTACAAATGTAGTGTATTATTATTTCTTTTTAGAGGGGAAATAATGGTAAAATATTGAGTTAAAAAAAAAAAAATAATAAAAAAAAGTAACAATTCTGTACAGCGTATAACTCAGAATTTAATTTAAAATTATATCGCTTTTTTATTACATTTTCTTTTACACGTATATAACGGTCTTTTTCCGTTTTTCACAATTTTCCGGAAAGCCGTTGTTGCTGTCGCCGGATGATTAAAATTTCGAACATTTTAAAAGAATACCGTTTGTAAAAAACGCGGTTTTAGTTTTTCAAAAGTTTCGCCTGTTTAGTTTTCCGAACTAATAAACAATGTTGGGCGACGGCGAATCGCGGGTCGCGCATTTTTTTCACTCCGGTATTTTTAATACGAAATATATTCGCAGATTTTTTTTCATTCGGCCGTCGTATCGGGTTGGGGGGGGGGTGAGGGGGAACTATCGATTCTAACGATAATAATTTCGGTACGCGTTCGCGAGCGTGTGCGGCGGTCACACTGCCGGCACGAAACGCATACGGAAAACCGTGTAACGATATCGTTTTAATATCCCGCGGCCGTTTATTCCGTGTCGACTCGCGCCGGAGCTGTCAAAACGGACGACGATTGCATTGCGATTATCGTGCGCGTTATCGCGGTGCACGTGGTGACGTCGAAACGGTTACCACCGTGACTTCCAACCGAACTGACCGCGGCCGGACGATTAATGCCCCGGCCGTTCACGGGGCTCGTTCGTGCGCGCACCTACGCGTTCCGACCGAAACGTTATTGTTTTCGGATTCAAAACGCATTTAATATATATTTATATATAAATGTATCAACGCGGAATAAATCAAACGTCGGTCGCGACGGTTCAAATGTTCGAACCGTTTCAATGTTTCTTTGTCCTACACGCGTGCGCGCGCACTTATCGCGAACCGCGTCTCGGTGGCCAACCGATAATTCCGTCCATTCGTCATTTTGGGTGGTTGCGCCCCCCTCCCCCCCGCGTTCTTTCGCGTTGTCTTCGCTACAGGGCGTTAACGGGCCGGCTGAGAATCCACCGTAACCCCGGACTCGCGTTTACCTCGCCGTTCCGTGTTTCGCGATCGCGACGTTGTCACTTCGTACGCGCGTCTCTGGGTCGTCTGCGGATACCGTGTCCCGTCTCTTCGCGGCCGCAATTATCCGTCCTTTTCTATCTGGCCGGAAAGTAGATCGTTGAGGTGGTTTTCTTTTCTTTTTTTTCGACTTTACGCGGACATTCCGTACTATCAGAACGACAGCGTAGCAGGGCCGCACACGAACCGAGCCGAGTCCCGGTGAAACCTTTCTGGACCAATTGAATCCCGCGGGTCGTTTTTAGGTGTAAACTAATAATTGAGTCCCTTGACATTTTAATTTTAATGCTAATTGAGTTCGTGTTGTAATACTAACTGAGTCCCGCCAAAGTTTTCAAAATAAAAAAACAATATATAAAACATCAAAATTACATTTTTTAAATCGATACAAATTTATTATAGTATGAATAATTCAAATGTTACATGTATGTAATTAAATGAATGTGGGCAGTAAAATTATATTTTCCATATTGGTAAAAATGTATTATAATTCGAAAGTCTTAAAGATGATATGAACGATATTATAACGTAGTCGTCTCCATATTCGTATACGATTTTACATAAAATAATCCTCCGGCTCAATTAGTATATTTCTTGTTAATACCCGGGACTTAATAAGTATATAATTTTTTTTCTCCTGTTCAGGTATAAAACGGTGTAGCGACCCGAAAAACCACGTTTAAATACCTAAATAAATACATAAATATTTAGGCATTTTTAAATATAAGTATTCTGTTTTTCATCGTATATTTACGAATTCTGTAGTTTATAAATCTACTTGTTTAATGTATAAACGTACGAAAACTATATTTAAACTAATTTTAATGCAATAGTGTATTATATTTAAATGCTTT